TAACGTTTATCCTCACCCATTCAGAGCTCTCGAGAGGTCATCAGTAGTGAAGTATTCGCCACATTCAGAGGATCTTAGCATTGATCCTACGAAGGCCCAGTTTGCCTTGTTATAGTTCATGTATATTACTTGTTGTGAAATGGAGGTATGAGCTGCATTGCTACTCAGTGGAAGTGACAGTGCACACATCACTGTTTAGTGGTCACTACCTGAAAACTTAGAACCCACTAAGATTGAGCGTCGGTACCACAGTGGTTAGGACTCTCGCCGACCATGCACATGGTACGATCCCCTGCCGGCGCACACCTGATATCTATGGTCGGCCTGAAATTTGGGCTACCGATTTCCATGCTGAAAATTCCATACTTGTACTGAAAATACGGTGTGGAATCAAGCTGTAATCAAAATAATAATAAATCGTGACAGAAGATTAAGTCTAGTGCGTTATTACCTCTTGTAGGAGTAGTGACAGTTTGTTTCCAGCCAAGTATATCCAGTGTGCCTAAGAACTTATCAAATTTAGTTGGGCCTTTGGGTATATCCCAGTTGATTTCAGGCAAGTTAAAGTTTCTCCATAGGCTTACTCTAACCGTTTGTAGGGAGTGTGTTGCCTGATGCAACATTCAGAGACGTAATATTAGTCACGAGATTTACAGGGGATTGGGTTCGTTGCTTTTTACTTTGATTAACCATAACTATTTGATATGAGAGTTGATGGTTACAGGTATGGAAGTAGTATAGTACTTGTGCAAGGATTACAACAAGATAAATTTTATGTAACGAATCATGCAAAAATGTAACGCAAACGTTGAGCGTACCACGTTGAGTGGCTTGGGAAAAAAATAAAGCTTGAAGTAATTCCCCTGTATAATTCGGTGTGTACAGCGTCGAGCCTTATTCTTGATTTACATCCAAATTTGATAATTTTTTAACTTGTATAGACTTGTATAATTTTGTCGGCGATTTCATAGTAACATCACAAGTGAATTGTACTCAATGTAGGCTAATAATAGTACATTATATTAAAAGAAATGCATGCTATTTGTACAGGCACGATTGGTTATGTTATAAATTGCATTCGTGAAGTATTGTAAATTAATACTTTTTCATTGGTATAAAGGCATATTCCACAACTGTGGGAGGAGGAGACGCGCAATTCGTTAGGCAGTTGTAAGATATGGGACCAATAATGTTTCAGATCATTCGTCATTGTGAGTGGTCAAATATCTACATTCTTTGTTCTCATTCAAAAATTCATATAGAAGTTAAAATGGTGTGAGGAAAAACAAGACAAATAACAGCAATACAAAGGAAAGCAAGTGGAGTCCTCAAGGAGTGGTTAATAAATTTATATACATATATATACTCTGTGTAATAACAATGATTATTTTGGTACACTACTTAAATAGTCCTGTTATGCTGACTTTTATATTATGTGTGGACTAATATTAATGTCCAGTGTAGAAATGTTTAGCATGTACTTCCAAAAATATCAACACGTATTAGATAAATAATAAATATATAAATTTATTCTCATAGTACAGTACATGAGGGACGCCAGTTTACAGGCATCATCAAATTGTTACAGAAATAGAACCATATAATTCAATCACAATTTACAGGCAGTGGCAAGATATGCTTTACGTGTTCGCTGGAGATTATACATACACTTGATAAATGTTAATCCCAGTAGTATAAAACAGCCTTTTCACTTATATACAATCATTTCTGTGCAAAGTTGGAAAAATCTGCTAGATTGTCAGTGAGTGCAACACAACAGGAAATACAGGAGTATTGTCTTCGCATTAACAAAAAAACCAGGTCTTTGGTGGATGGATTATAAGTGCCTGGGAAAAAAATAAAGCTTGAAGTAAATATTCATACATAACTTTGTTGTGTGCAGAGTCCTCAAATTATAGTTCATTGATGTGTTATTTTGAAATCAGTGATGTGTTTATCTCATTTGATCTGCAATGTCATTGTTGGGAGTAAGTACATAAGCTTCGGACGCATTAATTAATGGATTTCTACTGCTTGTGGGTATTTTCTTAGCGTTAGGAAGGCTTATGAGTTTCAGCTGTTCCGACAGGAGTTGAGAATATTAACTGCTCAGCAACATTATTGATATAAGTTCATCACATTATCTAAGGAAAGGTGGGTTGCAGTTGGTGAGGGATATATGGTGCCCAACGAGCGCTCATCTGTCCATGTGATGTTTTGGTGAGTTATACCTTTTCATGTTGTCGGTTTATGTTCATTTTATTCCACTTATTGTGTTGGGTAGGGGTTTTACAAACGAGATTTCTTGTCTGTTTGAGGATACGTATCTTAACCGTTAATGTTTTATCTAGAATTATAAATATAGGCAAAAAACAACAGGTGTAGGATTCAAGCTTATACATTAAATGGACCTATAATTTCGGAGGCTCTCAGATAGGAACTAGAACTACTATCGTTTGCAAACTCTTGTAGTTTGTCATTAAGCACCTTTTTGAAGGAGGCCAATGTACTTGCTTGACGCATTTCCATTGGTAGCTTATTCCATATCTGTGCATACCTAATCAAGTAAAACTTTTGCCTGGTGGCTGTTTTACATTGTTCGATAGCTACTGTACCTTTAGTGTGTCTTAGTTTGTAGCCATTGTCATCTGAAAGTCGAGCGCCATTAGTAGAGGTAAAAACTAAGTGGTTTAGAAGCTCATAGTAAAGTGTTAAGTTTAGTCTCAGGCGTCTTAGCCATAGTGTTTCTAGTCCTAATGTATCACATCTAGTGGAGTAGTTCGTACCATTTTCAGTTCCGAGTAATTTTAACGTGAAGTACCTCTGCACTCCCTCGACTTTCAATTTGTACTCTATGCGTATGCTACTATACATGAATGAACAGTAATCAAATAAAGGACGCACACAAACCTTGTACAACAGAATTCTAAACTCATTTGCAATGACGCCAGAGAGCACCCGACCCAAAATTTCCAAATGACCTGCAAAAGTAACCACAAATTAGGCGAAATAGACTTTAATATACAAAATATAGACTCAGCGATTAAGACTTTGGAGTCTAATGGTAGTACTGGAACAGATGACATACCATCTGTCATGTACAAAAATGGTAGCACGGAAATGGTAGTCTTGTTACTTAGAATATTTACTCTCTCGTTGGAAACTGGAACTTATCCTGAAGTGTGGAAAACCACATACATATTACCTTAGCACAAAGCAGGGGCCAAAACCAGTGTATGCAACTATCGACCTATCAATATAACACCGGTAATATCCCGAATAATGGAGAAAGCGGTTAAAGACCAAGTGTCAGACAACTTACTAGAATGAATTTATATTATCCATGTAGGGTGAAAAAGAAGGTAAACGAGTCAGGCACAGAAGTGCGTTGTCCTCTTTGAACAGTCTGGCGACTGAGAGGATGAACACTGGGAGTGTGTTTGCATCACGCACATCAGCTGGTAGTCTATTCCAAATGACTGAAAACTTATTTAAGAAGAGATTGCACTGCATGTAATTCTGACAATATTCTGTAGCAACTAGGTAGTCATGATTTCTGAGGTTTTACCTGATGACAGAGGTAGATTTGGTTATTGGCCAGGAGGAGTGCAAGAGAAGATCAGTTAGCTTGTAGTAGAAAATAAGGTTCACCTTAAACCGTCTTTTGCAGAGTAGTTCTGTTCTCAGTCTACGCTACACTCAGCGTAGTCGACATCGCATTCAAAACCGATAATTATTAGGGAAAGTTGCCGCTGCACTTCCTCTGATTTAGACTTGTCATTCTGCCGCAGTCCGCTAAGGATAAACGGACTGTATTCTAAAACAGGCCGAAGACATAGTTTGCACGATAAAAGCCTAGTGTCACAACAAAAGAAATTGCGAGTTTTGCATCCTAAGAGCCTTCGTGATTTTACGCCTGGCATAATCAGTTTGTTCACTGAGCAATAAGTTACTAAGGTATCTGATACCGAGATCTACGACTGAGTTGAGCTTGAATAGCTTTTGCTGGTTTATTTCAAGACTTAGATCAAGCCTACTGTTGCCGAAACAAATCTAGCTGCATTCTCAATGTAAACCTTTGGACAGGATTCTTCACACCATGTTGCCAGAACACTTAGTCCAAGATGTATTTAACCTACCACATCGTTTAATTCATGAGTTTAGGAGGGATAAACAACTTTCAGGTCGTCAGCATATAGGAACGGTTTATCTGAGGTGAAGCAGTTACAAATGCTGCTAATGTAGACTGTAAATAAAAGTGGTCCTAGGACACTAACTTGCAGCACTAATTTTGGAGTCAGCCTAGCTGCGATAGTTGGATGAATGGACGAACTATGCAGAAATTTCTTAAAGACCAAGAACTCTTAACTCACAGCCACGAAGTGAGCACAAACAAATCAAATTGGAATTCACTAGCTCGTAGAAACGAAATTGGTTATTCACTACGTCCAAGTATTTAAGAATATTTTAAGTATTTCTCTATGCTGTTGACACTGTGCATAACTGTTTAGAGTTGAGACGTATGTACCTTATATTTTACCACTATAGTTTACTAAGGATGCAAATGTAATTTCTGTAGGATTCGCAAATCCATCTTTACTAGACATTACTGAGATTGTGGATTAATTTCTAAGTTATATATTCGCAATATTTCCTATAAAGTAAACGTATTTATTCCAAAGTTAATTTTACCCTTTACTCTTATGGACTGACTACTACATCCAATGATTTTTTCATATATAATGCAAGGGAACTAATAGTTGGAGCAGCTAAGAGGGTGAGACAAGGGAGAATGTCAAGTATTAAAACGACGAGTTTTTGTACATGCACACTAATAGTGCGTCAGTATTAGGGGAATAAGAGATTCAGATTGAATAAAATTAGCTTGTCAAAATGATTCTGGATACGCCAGCTGGTGGAAGGCACACTGCATATTGGATACACTAAAAATGATATTGGATATTGGATTGTATATTGATGGCGGTATTTTGACTTCGTTACTTGCGTTTCCGCGTAGTTGTATCACAGAAGACATGAATCTATTCACTTACTTCAGAAACATCTCTATCACAATCACCATATCACTTTTTATTTGCAGTGTTTCCGCCTGTCAAATAAATGAAGGGAAAAATACAGAAATGATAACAAAGCTAGAGGGTAATTAGTAGCTGAAGTTTACTACAGGTTTCAATACAGAGAAAGGGTTTGTAAAATCCCCGCGTGTCAAAAAAGCCTTGCAGAATGTGGATCGTGGTTGTTTTGTTGAGACAAACCCTTATAACATTTCTTCAATGTCAACGAAATCCGATGCCATAATTCTTCCTCCCTTTGTCGTGAGTTTGTAGTGACCCGTTTTATTACTCATCATCGCAGTACACTTTCACTATGTAATTGTACTTTGATTTGTTATTACTCTAAATCTTGCATGTTAACAATTGATACCTTTTTTGTACTCGCTCGATTTTTGAAGGCTGATTGCTGCAATAATACACTATCGTATTCCTTCGCAAGTGCCTTTTGAATTACGTTGCGGATGTCGAGTAATCGCAACGTTAGGTCACAATTATAAACGCGAAGAAATACTAGAAGACACGTGTACTCTAGTTCAGTCAAAATATAGCAGCAACAAGTTCAGTACATTTCATTACTGAGAATCATTGTGAGGCAGAGATTTCAGTAGGTCACGTTAGTTTATGCCATGTGTCAATCCCTAATGATTTAGTTTTAATAAATTAATACAAATATGCAGTATAGAAAGCAGATGAAAGTTAATAAACAGAAGTTGAGTTCATTACTAAGGGTCATAAATCGGATTGACGAAACAAAGGTTGTGAAATATAACTGCCTGGAAATGCACCTCTTCCTCAGAACAATTCGTTAAACATTCATGAGTGGTAAGTGGTATGCACTGCTAGTGCTTAGGTAGTTTATACAAGTTTATCAATATTTATTGGATACTGCATACTTTACTTAGTGATAACGGATGCTTATCGTACACGTGTCTGATGGCTTTCTGGTGACTGGTATGTTTATTCAAACATGTGTACACCTGAAACAGTCCAGAGTTTTCGATTTCACTGCAGTGTGTGTTGAATTCTTTGATACTCAATCTTTGATATGCGTTACGTTCACTTCATGTAAATTTGACTTCAATGAGTAACTAAAGTGTGAATTTCATGAGAATAAACAGGTAGAGCATTGTGGCTATGAATTGTGAATTGAATTATGTTGGTGGGTTTAAACTTTGTGTTCGGTGATATTATTGGATGGCTGCGTTATGTATATTTTACAATGAATTGTTTTCAATAAAAGCCATGTATAATGTTTCCTTATTAACAGCTAACAGAAAGATGTTCAGTCAAATTGTTTCAGACTCCACAGATGCACTTCTGTGTTTCTTTAATTCGATGCGCACGCTAAATATTTACCCTTTCATTTTCTGTGATCCAGCAAGCAACTATTCTGGAAGCACTGCATGACTACATCAAAGACGGTTCACACTCTTTAATTATGGAGCGGGGTAGTGGATACCTCTCAGCTTGTGTAACGTTTATGGTGAGTCTATTGTAGTGAGGTGTAATTTTGATTATAGTGTTTCACATGGTTCACATTACCAGAAAGTCTTGGAGCATAGTTTCATGAATATTTAGGCTGACCAGAATATTACCATTCGAAGCTTGGAGTTAGTTGAGGTTTGTTGACAACAACAATATATTCATCTGCAGATTCATTAAGGATGGCGTTGAATGTTTCAATATTATAATACAATGAGATATGTAAAGAAGCCATAATGAATAGATGCATACTATAGGTAAATAATGATGAGACTTGAGTAGATCTAGAAGACTACGAATTTGAATCTATTTGCATCATTGATAACGGCTTTGTGTCGTGTCACGAACAGTCTCCAGTCTTTGGTTCTTGGCATCTTGATTATCCCAGCCAGGTGGTCTTCACCATGCAACAACACTGGCTCAAGCTAGTTACCAGTTGCTTTAGAGTTTGATAATATTTTTTGATTTAACCATCTCTAATCCCTTCCCAACATAATTCTATATCAGCTAATATTGCCTGACAATGAAGTCGACGGTTCAACATGGATAATACGTGTCTCAGTCACTTTAGGTAATATAACATCCACTTCCTATGCTTCGACTAGTAGCCAGTTCATTGTAGTCCTGCATCATCATCTACAATTTGAATAGGGCATATCTTGTTCAAACTTGCTGAGATATCTGCTGAAGGTATTCAAAAGACGCTGGATTTTGTCAGAATCTTTGCTTAGAAGAGCTATATCATCTGCATATTCTCAATCGATGAGACTGTTTTATGGTAAAAAGTCATTTGGTCTACATGTGATTAGGTTTCCCTTAATTCAGCTCAATTCAGTTGGAGTTTTATGTCCGGAGCATCCCTAGTCTCTTCCGGATGATTCGGCTTAATATTTTGTTTGTAGCAATGTTATAATTACTTGCTTTAGAAGTATTTTACAATGACCGAATCACAGGAAATCAACCAGTAACACACAGAGGGATGAATTTAGGAATTTATATTTGGCGGAATTATTTGTAATTCATATAATAATATACTAACGAACAACAGTAATTATATAAACAATACAGAGATAGAAATTTTCAATCTTCACATCCACAACATGTCAAAGGTCCCCTTGCGTATTGATAATGATATCTTGGTTTGCTTGATAGTCTCTGGGATCTTCTAACTGATTCTGTGATATTATTTTCATCAGTATCATCTGGACGTATTTCTGAATTATCTACAAAATCAGGATTAGTAGCGGAATCATTAAAATTGTAATCGGAACGACCTACTTCATTTATTTTCAGTTGATCCAGGTGTTTGTTGTGAACTGAATTATCTTCGATGTCTAATATCTTCACTATTCGATTTCCTATATTTTGTTGTATGATTCCAACAGAAGGTCTGTAGTCATTCCCTCTGTAATAATGCACATTAGAAGTCATGGACATCAGATGCTTTCTGAGAATTCGAGATTTGAATAGCTTAGCAGAACGTTCATGGGTACTCATATGCTCCTCATTGTGATATTGGGGTTAGAAGTTATCTACAAGCAATCATGAGTGTGATTCTTTTGAAGTTGTAGAAATTCACCACTCCATGGTAGTTTCAAAGGGTGTTCCTACTTCATTCAACCAGTAGGCACTCACTCTTCCCTTCAAACGCTAAGCAAATGTGGCGTGAGCATATGCACCAGGTCTTTGAGTGCGTTTTCAGTGATCCTCATCGCTGGCGTTAGCGACTTCTGCTTACTTCGGAGGATCGGTGTTCACTGGGAGTTCTGATGCTGTTGGTGGTATTTCGGGTAAGTTTCGAGTGGTGGTTGATTCAAGCGTTTTGAAGACTTCAGCCTTGAGTTTTCTTTTCTCCTCTTTGGTCATTAGGTTCTGTTCACCACCTGTATTAATCTCTTTCCAGATAGCTTACTGGTTGTTTTGCTTTCCATACAATGGACCATCAGGTTGATATTGATTTGCTTAGTATATATCAAAGTGATCTACACACTCATGTCTCTTCTTTTGTTTTCCTACCTCTCAAAGTCTGGGATTAGTGGTAGGACAGAATCCACTCTGCCCGATAATAATTTAATGGAAGCTGCTTTGGGGAATTTCGCTAAGTGGCTACAATACACTAAAAAGGTCTTCACATTGGGGACACAAATTATATTCAGATCAGTTAGTGATCTTAAACCATGGTCATTGAATCCAAAGTATGATGCTATTTATTTGCATGTACTGGATAGAAGTATCATATTTCCAGTAAGTCTACTTATTCAAATGTCATATATATATTTGCGATTTTAATGAGCAATGGTAGAATAATAGTAAATCAGCTGGACAGAGGTCGCAGACGACAAGAATCAGGAGTTCATACTGCTCGTGAATATTTGTAGTGTATATTTACATCAAATAAAAACAAATGACAGTGAATATTTGCACAGTACAGTTATACAAACAGTCAGTCACTCATCACAATAACACTTTGTAGATAAAAACTGTCATTATTCAGGTAGTGTCATCTTCATTTCTGTGAGAAACTAATACAGTAGAATGAAGATATTGCAGGTGAGAATGAACCACTTGTCCGATTTACGGACTGATGATGTCCAATAGTCTGCCATGTATATCTCAACTGAGTGCTCTCCATAAATGATTTCACCGTTACGTGTTCCGTTATCCTTGACTGGTTTCGATTAGACACAAGAGTAACTTTAATGCAGCTAGTTCTCGTAACATCCACTAATTTGTATATTCTCCCATTTTGCATTTCATGACGATATTGAGTATTTTGTACAGGGGTTGTGACATAATTGACAAACACTTCTAAATATTCAGAAATCTTAGGTAATTACCAACGAAATAGTGGAAGTGATGGCTTGGAATTAATTCAGGTGGAAATTATTGGATATGTGCTTTGGTGGCACAGTGGTTAGGGATCTACCCGACCATGCACATGGTCCGAGTTCGATCTGCAGCCGACGCACACCTCATATCAATTGGTCGGCCTGCAAAATTTGGGCTAACAATATCACATACTGAAAATTCCATACTTGCACCAATAATACGGCGTGGAATCAAGTTATGATGAGAAATCAGAAATGTTAGGTTAAGTGTCCACTTGACAAGTGTGATGAAGGTGAGAATAAAATCAAATGAATAATAAAGTTGGTAAAAGGAGTACATAGGAGTAATAACTGTGAAATGCGAAGTGAAACTAGAGGCGAACAAGTAGGAGGGAAATTGAGACCACTGTATCATGAGGAAGTTGAAGTAAGCTTCTCTGTTAACACGGTTTGTAGATGAACTGACGAATTGCTAGAGCCTACATCATCCACAAGTCTTGAAAGTCAACACCCCTTTCACAGTCTGGATGTGCAGTATAAACGAATTCAAGGGAGGAGCACATTCAATTTGCTTGACCTGGATTCATGAAATGTTCGAGAAACGAGTAAGCATCTTTAATTGAATATGAATATGACTTCATCAGTAGACGATACCTTATTCACTGAATAGTCTTTTATCTGTTTCATGAGATACATTCGTGGGAAATCCCATATGAATCTAACTGTCCGTGACATTATTTATTTTGCATCAGTCATTCAAGATTCCCACATAATAAAATAATAATCACTTTTTATTCTGTGATTCATTTGCTCCGAATAACTTAGGTGGGAGAAGAATTAAAAGTAGGAGGTCGGATAGTTTTGTTGGAAGAATCTGGTGGTGGAGAACAGAAACTGTATCTGATGGATCGCAAAAATGAGGTTATGTTTTTCGAAAAACCTCTGATGAGTTTCAAAAGTGTTGTGCCACGTAGTATTCAGACTCCAGAAGAAAGTAGAGTAGAACCTGGGTAAGATTTCTTGTCTATATGAAATCGTGGGCTTATTTCAAATCACTGAATTCCTAGTTAAAAGTTATAAACTATTAGGTTAATTGTATGTCGATTCATTAAATTGAAGAATGTACATTATGATTAATGCAAGTATTTGTGCCTGGCTGAAATGTATAAGATGTGATTGTATATATAAGAAAGGGAATATTTCTTGAATATGTATGTGTTACATAAGGAGAAATCTCGCCGTAATATAATGAAGACATCACGAATCAATGCACACCATGTCTTCGAAAACAGTCGGTCTTTTGAATACATCTGTATGGCGTTAATGAAGAATGGATTATATATGAACAATATGAGGCATTTTAGAGACTCTCCTTTTGGACGAATCTGACTGGACATATCCATTTGGTCATGTTTTTATGTATGTGTATTCGCGTATACATGTGCATTGATTTACGGTATGATATATTACCTGTGTTTCTCCAGCTGCTTGGTTTCAAAGACGATAAATTAAGCAGATACCTACTTATCTTTCATTCGGATCCTCGTCTATTGACGAGGCACACACAAAAATATGTAGCCTTTCTTGTGGCAATACATGAATTCGAATGGATCTCATGCTAATGAATTTGTTGACAATCATTCAATTAATCTGTATCATCATCAACAGGTCAGACAGCATATTTACTGACGAAGAAAGATTGTTTAGAAATAATCATGAAGTAGTAGTAGTCGTTTCACTGAAATCATTAGAGTAACTCCTCTATTAGAGCAGATCTTGTGGTTAATTAACACAATAATGATATTTACAAAGGCTTTTATCTCATTCATTCTGTCTGATCATTATTATTATTTGAATTGATTAGTTCGTATTTTGCGTACAAATAAAAGTGTCATTGAGATTTACCTATGATAGGCAAACAGGCTGTTCAGGAGAATAAGGCCCTACACTCACTCACTCACTTTCGTTATCTTGACTAGTTTTATATTGCTGAAAACGCCAAAGCATTTCCAATTTCATTCTGATATTTTCTTTGTAATCTCAACCTGTACTGATCCAATATCACAAACCGAGCAAGCAACATGGGGATGACAGAAGTCGAAATCCCTCATTCTGCAGAATTATTCTGTATTTTGCGTTTACAATAAAAAGACACAAACAACAGTGAAGATATACACACACTACGGTGACAGAAAGTGTTAATCATCACAAATGTCTTTCTTGAACATCTCATTAGTTTGAGATTCCCTCATTTTCATGCAATCAATGTTGATAATGTTATCATTGATTCTGCCTTATTCAATGCGTCTTGAAATAAACATGACGGGTTTTATAACTACTGCTAGATGATAGTGGTTCAGTGGAATAGGATTAGTTTGCATGTAGATAAATCCCTGATCCGCATAGTCTCCTTTGGATGCTTTAATTGTATTCGCACACATTCGCCTTCATGTTGAACTAAATGAAGAACTGTTATGATTTTATGCTTGTTTGTCTTTGATTTCTGCAATGTTATTCATTTCACACCGAGAATACGACATCATTCTCACTCATCTTTCTTTTTTTATTGTTGTTGTTGCTGTTACTGTTACTGTTACTGTTATTATTTGTTTACAGCGAAGCTAGGTAAGATAATTCTCCCTCCTTGTGCAATAGTGTGTGCTTTGTTTCATGCAAGTTGAAGCAGTAGAGTATTTAATTTCTTGTTAAACTTTTAGGTTATTTGAATTCCCTCTTATTCAATATGACAAGGATTGAGCATCATGATCTATGCACGAATTAACGAAAGAAAGTTTAAACGCAGAATATGTCATGCTATGTAAGAAGCACCTGTTTGTCGAATATGCGTCAGACAGACAGATAAACATTGCGGTATGATACACGAATTCACAAATTCCACAACGATTTCGTTAAATGGAGTACGCAGTATTTCTGAGAAATGTGATGAATGTGAACAACCAATTTTTCAAATAACCTGATTACACACACCTATTTGGCCATTTCCATTTATACGAAATGGGAAAATAAATGGAAGATATTTCGCCTACTGCAAAAGCTGTTGATAGCCACACAGAAATATTCAGAACAGACTGATACAACCAGTTACGTTACTTTAACCAACTTCATATTCCTGCGAACAACTAATCAATTGTCCTACATGATTCGAAGAAGAATCCGTTCCCTTGATAAAATTAACCAAAAGCTGAGGAGCAGCATCTTCCACACCCTTCTCGATTCGATTTGGTAATGAAATTCATTTTTAATTGAGTATTCTTATACTCAGTCTCACTCATCATTGTTCTTACTCTTATTTGCTAACAGCATAATCAGGTAAGATTTTCCTTTGTATTCAATAGCATACTTCTCTATTCACTTCAAGTCAGCATAGTATTTGAATTTTGGTGGAAAATCTCAATCACTACAATACTCTGAAACATCTCATGAATTCGCTTGCATCCATCACCTGAATTTTTGTCTTCATGAAATTGATCCTGATAATTTGACGACTCATTCATCCTTACACCTAATCATCAGGCACACCAAGTATTAAGCAACCACCAGATGAGAAATATCAGGTGGATTAGGTAGGATTGGTTTCGAGGGTGGACAGATAGATCTCTTATCCTCAAAGTCTGCAGTAGTTAACTTGCTTAGTATGAGGAAATATGTGTCACCTTATCCAAACAAATGAAGATTTATGTCAAGTTTCTGTACTTGCTTGTCTTTGATTTCTGCAGTATCATGCATTTCACCAAAAGAATGCGACATCAGTCTCCATTTATCATTTTTATTGTTGTTACTGTTTCCTGTTTACAGCGAACCTGAGTAAGACTTTTCTTCGTGTTCAATCGTATGCCTTTTTGTCCACTTCTAAGCGGTTTCGTGCATTATTTCTAGTTAGGAGTTATATATCTTTAGTTTAAATGTAATTTCACTCATTAAACATGGAGTGAACATCATGACTGATGTACGTATGCATTTATGATAAATTGAAATGTAGGATATGTAATCGTTTGTAGAAAAAGAAGTATTTTTTGAATATGTGTAAGGTAAGGAGAAATTCTGCTGTAATATAACGGAGAGATGACAATTGATCCACCCTATGTATTCAGGAATTGTGAAGAAATGCTCCCTTCACTATATTGGGATAGAGCTGAGGGAGGCCAGATGACAACTGATAATTGTGACTCATTTGTGCAAGCCACTTTTACTGAACAGTCTGACAACAAACATCCACCTGCCAATTCAATTTATATGAAGAGTCAAATAAAATTGACAACATCACCGAGGAAATTAAGAGTGAGGAGAATGAAAATTTACGTCTCTACGATAAGTAATACATTCGTGAAAGGATTATCAATGTAAGTTGAACGCAACAAGAAAGTGATTTCGCAGGTACACGGCAGGTGTTCTTTCACGAATATTCATCGCCATATCAGCTGCTGTATCAAGGGTGTATTATTATCATTTTACACTAGTTTGGCTTTTATTTTGACATTGGAATTCATGTTAAATCAGGAGTATGGATGGCATGAATCTCACTTATTGGTTTTGTCACTGTTATTCGTTTACAGCGACTTTTATTTCGAATACATGGAGTACAAATCAACAGGAGTTAAATATATTCCAAACAGTAAAGTTCTGTTATTACTTTGTATTTCCATCATTTTATTCATCTCATTATGCTGACAATCACATATATTATTCATTAAATAGTATTTTTACTTCACACACACACACCACTCAAGTGTACATTTGTACTATGTGTCACACCGCTTTACTCAGTGAACTACACAACATCAACTTATTTCCAAAACATTTTTGAAGGCCAGACTGACTTCATTAATATACGACATCTTTTGTACATCACTCTTCACTTCCGTGTATATTGGAAATAGTTTTGTTGCATTGTGACTATTATTTGTAATAGTAGTATTTGTATTTTGCAATGACCGAATTACAGGGATTCAACCAAAACACAGGGAGGGATGAACTTAGGAATTTGTATTTGGCGGAAGTGTATTTCAAATCAAAATAATAAATATATTAACAAACATCAGTAAGCATTTAAACAATACAAAGATAGAAATTGTCAATCACCACATGCATCCAAATGACGAATGTGTTTAAACAGCGATATTATCTGTGGTGTATTTCTGCGGAATTAATCCTGCAAATTAATCCTGTAACCAGTTTTGTTGCATGTCGTTAACACAATTATTTCCTGTACGCCTTTTCACAACTTCACTCACATTAGAATAAACAATAGGCTTGTTACAGATGAATTGCTAATCATTAGTTCTCTTCACATTCCCACGATTTGGATATTGAAACTAATTTGAGATACATCCATCATCCCTACGCAGAAATGTAGATTCGAAAAATTATCCAGCCTGTCAGCCTCAAATGTGATGCATGAAATCACCTGCTGAAATATTCACAAATGAATAGTCACATACATAGAGAAGGATAAATTCATTGAAGAAAATGAACTGATTAAATTTAACGATTACTACACACACTACCCATATACATTAGATATAAAAGATGGATTATACTCTTATTTGATAAAATATGAACAGCTGGATGATAAATAAGAAGCGGTGTATGAAAGAAGAAGACATGACTGGATTGTTATATTTGTGTGTCAGAGTTCCCTGTAAATCACTCGGGAGGCTGTACTGAATTGTTGACTTTTGGTGGTGAAACCTGCCGATGTAACTGCTTCGTATAATATGCTATCACAGCTTATTAACCTTCAAAACAAGTTGCATAGTGTATATAAATGAATGTTTCGGATGATACTCTTCAACTGTGTTGAATAAGTCCAAATGTGAATGGTATGTGTTGTCTATCCTATACATAAATATGTTACACATCTGTTCAAAAATGTTAAAGGATATCCGTTTTCAACACGATTATACATCAGAATTTCATTTTCCTTCTCTGTAACATCAGTCATACAAATACACTGAATCCTTTCAAGTAAGCATTTCGCCTAGCCTCCCTTATATTGTAGTGCAAATTATCACAGCTTCTGTCCATTACAGTATAAGAGAGGCTCGGTGAGATGCTTATTTGAGCGGATTCAGCGTATTTGCACGGCTGATTTTATAGAGAAAGGAAATGAAATGTTGATGGATACTCCTGAAGTAAACGCATATATTTTAACATCTTTAAACAGGTATAGAAGTCAACTAGCCCCTAAGAAAGATGCATTCATCAAATTACCTTATAAAGGAGAAATAAACAGTAGGATTTTGAGGCAAAGAATTATTTCGGTCATCCGTAGGATCTATTATGCAGCTCGACTTGTATTTATGAAAAAGGCTAAAAATATGCTCCACTGAAAACCTCAAAAGTGCACGAGTGATTATGTCACATAACAGACTATTTACCAATTTACTTGTGTGTGTGTGTGTGGACACACATAAAGAGAGAGGAGTAATCACGCTTTGCATGTGTGTGTGTGAAAGCATATTCTTAAATGGTTATAAAGACAGATGAACTTCGGAAAACAATAGGCGCCGGTGGTAGACTACCAACTTCGTTTTTAGCCAAACATCTAATCGACATAAAACATAGGCTTGATGTTAACACAGCTTCTAGGGTCATCAATAAAGTGGTCAAAGTCGTTTACTGAAATACGCTGAGGCTACAGCTATTCATAAACTTAATCCCCCAACCCCCAATCTGTGTGTTCAAAAACAGTTTATTATTACTCTTAACCCAACCTTGGTAATCCTCATCCGATTCGATAACCGATAGTTGTGTTAATTATTCTGATTATTCTAAACTTATTTTGTGTCATTTCGTGTACTTCAGTTGTCCTTTATTTTTATAATATAAATTGAATTGACAAATAAATAATGTGTGAGGGATCAGATTGTTCGAAAAGTACTGCACAAATATATCACATTTTTCAGATAATCTCCGCCTTCTAATGACACTATCCAAATATGTAATATTGAGAAATTGAACTGTGGTAAATCCCAAATACAGACTGTCGGAGTAATGATCAGTTGAATGTTTTACTCATCGTGAATAAGTGTTCTATGATGGGAGTATAGAGTGCCGATTTCCTGATGACGTTTTCATGTTTGACGGTCAATTTGGCTAACAATATCCTGTCAGCATTACAAGCTGACATATTTATTTGAAATTACACGAAATTGTTTAATTATCATAGGGTGGTGAAATGGAGCAATCTCGGTAGGACTTCTGAAGTTCTCTCAGTATACTGTTGGTCATGTCGTCTTCTAGCAATAGGAGCGATCACCAATAGTTTGTGCGAGTTACATGGGTGATTCAGTAAAGATTTATAGAAGCATTTTAGTCGCCACCATATTCTATGTGTGCCAAATAATTGAACCAAATACAATTGAATCGCTTCACCAGCCTCTTTCGACTTCTCGTGTCATCATTACCAAATCCCTGTCGAAATTGTGAATGCATGCTGACTTTACACTCTCTAACTTAACGTGAACTGTGAAATTTTTCTCAGGGTGTAATACGCACATTGTGATCCGATAGGAAATCCTCCAAATATGTGAGCCCGTGTGAAAGTTTCTTCCTCTGGAGTAAATATCCGTATATACATTGTGGATTACATTGTTACTGGAACTGATTTACTGCCAGTTGGATATTTATTTACTGAGCTATTTCGATGTTTGTCATTCTGTAGGTGTCTAACCCTTTTACCATTTCATGCAAACGTGTTCTAGTATTTCGATTTTATCATTCTATACTACACAGTTTTCACTTGAGCGTCTGTAAGTGATACAAATCAGGTAACATGTTTATACTTCTGCGTTTGTGAGTGCCATTGATCTGTTTGTTCCGTCTTTCAAATCAACCCACCCTCACCTGTGGCTCACTCGACTGGGAAATGATTTCCTTGCTAATGACACTAGTTCTAGAAATGTTAAGTTCAGATATGCCAGGTATTTACTACACCAGAGGAGGGTGGTCACGGAACATGCGCGTAACCTTCTTATAAAACCTGATCCTGACTTCTCGTACAATTTACTGAAGCAAGAAGCAATACAACTAATATTCTTGTTCGACCAACCATCCATCGATTGACTCCTTACTGACGTGCACTTGGATGATAGCACTTCGTCTCAACCAAACGTAAACACGAAGAACCCACTGGGAGAGTGAGAGTATTCTACTGACTGTGGCTGTGAGTAAACGCCTCAGAATACACAACAAATTTTGGTAATGATAATACAGACAAAGATGGATTAGCTGACATCACCGGTTGAATTCACGAAGGAATGCTAACACAAGTGCAGAAGGTCGCAAAGCAAACACATACTGATTGGTGAACAGCTGTGAGACAAAAGGTTGATACCTTCATATGACATTTGCTTCTTGTAGTCACACGGAGACACCATCTAGGATATTTCAGATATCTGTCACCGCTACAGCGTACTGGAAACACTTGTAGAAGTCTGTCCATAGAGACTATGTGGTGCTTCCTTCGTGCATTAGGAAACAAAGGACACCACTATTCTTTACCATGCATATGTCAACGGTCTTCTTGTTCTCGAAATCAAAGATCTGGCGGTCACCATTGACAGCTGGGCACAAAGTGCATCTTACGAGAGAAAATGACACATTTCCACATAGATAAAAGTGTAGACGCCTTCACTATGAGATTTTATTGACAGTTTACACGATGAACAAATCGTGTGTGAAAGAATGCAGGATTACAGTGATTTAATTTGATCTTGGTTACGACACACCAGTTGAACGGTGCGTCGGTGGCACAGTGGTTAGGACTCTCGCCGACCATGCACATGGTCTGGGGTTCGATCCCCTGCC